CCCGCCAAGATCGTTTACTGGCGATCTCAAAGACAGACCTGCGGAGCGGTGACCTTGGAATGCTCGCTTCCGACGGGTGCATCGTTCCTGCTTCTTGCTCTTAGACGCGCAGAATACGAGAGCAATCCAGACAACAGTACCTGCTTGATTATACACAGGCCAATCGAAGCCACAAGGACCATACGATTTCGATTCTCTGACGGCGGGCGAATGGTGGTCCCGACTCCCAGATGCGTGTCCTTGACTCAGACCCATACACACAAATACCAGTTACGTTGGCAAAGAGGTTGCCTGGAATTTCTGTTTGACAACCAACTTGCAGCTACAGTGCCACTTACGCCGCGACAGGATCTGGAGCCATGGGCCCGTGCGGCCGCTATGTGTGTGGCTCATCCTGACTGCACGACCACGGATTTCCAAGTGCACGCGCTGCCTTTCCAGTATAGTGCCTCCAGTGGTCAGCCACCATGTGCATATTGTCTCCGTGAGAGCATATCATGCTGTCAGATATGTCACCACTGGTTCTGTCCCGTGCATGGCCTTAATGGCGACGACGTATGTCTCTCGTGTGTGCCAGAGTCATTTCTAGAAGACCGTCTGGCAGGGTCCTCCGCGATGGACGCAACAACCATGAGAATGTTCATAGAAAGACGTCGCCTGGCGGCTCTTCGACGAAATTATTTACGTTTCTCAGGAGATACACCAGCCTTCCGTCGTCTATGCGACCGCATAGAAGATGTGGAAGAGCATGTGTGCAATGCGTGTGCGGACAGCACCTGCGCAACGGAACATCTTCATCAGCAGATGGAGGACACCGCGATCCAGCGGCTGAACCGAGCTATTGACAGCTTGGAGGACACTGTCTTCTTTACAGTGAACACTAGCTTGCAAAGCACTCCAGGACAGAGCAGTTTGTTCGATTTCGGGTTGCAGACTTGTCTGCCGGATTGCCTGCGAACAGGGCGCTGGCCACATTCCGTTTGTGTGGCAGTTCCAGGGACATTCGATGTTGACAAGCTATCTGGTATAGCGATTCTGGACGTTCTCGCACTCGTGCATCCACATCCACGGGACTCTGATCTGCAATTTCGACACATGGATCATTCCTACACGTGGAAAGGCCAGAAGGTATCTCTGTCTGTGACTGGGCTCATTCACAGCCTGACTGCACGCTTCCATGCACCAGAGGCTCTGCGTGCAATGCGGAACGGCAGAAACTGGCCTCGTCCCGATCATGTCGTCCCGGACATGATTCAACGACTGCGACAAGTTCTACGAACGGATGTGTTTATTGAGTCGGAATTTGATGGGCTCTTGGACGCTCCTCAGGTGGATGTCGAGGCCGTCTGCCGGCGACTTCGCGACCTGATCTGGACTCATCCGGGCTACAAGTACTTGGCAACAGAGCTAACTCTGACTGATACTGAGATACTGCAGAAATGGGAATGCAATCGGCGAATTGCCGCTGCTGCAGGCACCTGGATGCACGCGAAGTGCGAGTGTCTGCTGAATGGTGGACAAGTGCCATCAGATTCACCGGAGGTCTGCATGTTCCTCAAGTTTCTGCGAGACTTCCACGCAGAGGGGTGGATTTTTACAAGGACAGAATGGACTGTCTACGCAGACAAGGAAGATCTCGCTGGATCCATCGATGCGGTCGCGCAGCGGGGCACAGACATTTGTCTGCTGGATTGGAAGAGGACCAAGCAGTTGGCGTCGAAGGATGATAGTTTCGGTCGCTTTCTACAATATCCTCTTCAAGACATCCCTGATGCAGTGCTTTGGCATTACAGAATTCAGCTCAACATTTACGCATGGATCCTTCGAACCTACTACAATGTTGTTGTGACGGACTTACGAATCGTGTGTCTCCACCCCGACAATGGCTTCTCGGCTTTGGTCGTTCCCGTTCCTCTTCTGTCGGACTGTATGACTGAGTTCATGATATGGCGACGAAACGATCTGCAGTCGCGCATATGTCTGACAGGAAGTCAGAGGAGTTCAGACATGACCGTGACGTCTGATCTACGTGCCGGAAGCCAAGAAGATGGAGATTCTTTCTCACAAATGCTTGAACGGCAGCTGGAGGAGACACTCGAGATGGAAGGACCGATGCCGAAGCAGGAGGAAACACTCGAGGCAGAAGAACCGATGCCGAAGCGACTGAAAGCCGCCGGATCCAAAGACTTCATAGATATGAGTGTGACCCTGATCGCAGGCGAAGCGGACACATCAGAAGTTACCCTGAGCCAGTTCATGAGCACTGACTTCAACCCAGCATTAATCCCACAGGAGCTCTCAGCTGGGGTTGAAGGGGGTAATATCCTGGAACAGTTACAAGAAATCCGCGATGTGATCAATGAATTTGCAAATGTCGAAACATGGTCTGAGCCATTCCGTCACATCATGGAAGGGGCGCTGGCCGTACATCGTCTGCGGCTATTGGATCTGAGCAGACGCGAAGAGGTTTTGTTTCTGGAGCTAATCGAAGGAAGAGGACTTCATGTGAGAGCACACGACAGTCAGTGCTTCTTCTACTCGGAGTATGGGCACTGGTCAGCTTATAATGGTGTTGTTCCTCAAGGAACACTGGCACGCTGCAAAACTTTTCTCATGCAGTTGGAAGGGCTGTACTCCATGTTCGACAACAATGTTCTTCGAGAGAACGAAGGCATCCTGGTTGCGGCACAGGAATTATTGCGACAATACGGAGGGCGATCGGAACAGCTCCTTGCAGCCTGCGAGAAAGCTGCCATCTGTCGTGTCCCTCCAACAAAAACCAAGCAGCAGGGCCACGGCGAAGATGATACTCCCGCGCAAGCTGCAGTTGGCATGCATTGGACTGCCGTCATGGCGAACACCATTGGTAAACTGTACGTGAAATTGTGTCTTGTCTGCTTATAACAGATATGAATGTCTGTTACTTTCAGAGGCTGTTGCAAGAACTGCACAACCAAGGCAGACATCTCTGCTGAACGACAGTGTCATCAAGTATTACATCGAGTGGTGTTCGATAGATGTATGTCAACAGGGTGGCTTCTGCACCATGGATGGCTGCTTCGTTTTCGACCCACGTGGCGGCTTGAAGGCTGTTCCAAAGTCTCCTCAAAGGAATGTGTACGTGCACCTGCCACATCGCATGCTGGACCCGGTAGCGGATGATGTGAAGAACCGACTCGACATGTTCTGGAAAACCACTTACTGGGGGAACGCACCTGCGTTTGACGTCTGTATGGCTTCTCTCACATTGGCTTTTCGTGGTGAAAATGTGGACCGCGCATTCTGGGGCGTGGGATCAGGCGGCGTGGGGCAGAGCTTACAGACTGCTCATTTGGAAGCCATTCTCGGCAACTATCACTCGTGCCTGGATATGAATATCTATTTCATAGACGAGGCACGAGAGTAGACTCTACTGATACTGCGGCGTAGAATCAAACTCTCCGCATAGTGGCTAATATTACTACCTGTTTCCTGTGTGCGTCTGTCAGGAGATGCGNNCGGCCAGGAGAGTGTCCAAGGATCGAGACGACCGATGCGAGAAGACATCTACAAGAAACACATTTCGGCTGACAAAGTGCCTGAACGCTTGCCCTATGCCATTCGGACTGGCTTGGTGGAGCTTCGTGGTTGGAAGCGCTTTGAGCTGAACGCTTACCCCAAGCGTCTCGTCTTGATGTTTATTTTTTAGTGTAGTGTCTGCATTCAGGGTGTGCGCGTGTCGATAATTAAGGTTCGCTGGAGTTACAGAGGAGAACATCAACTCCATCATGCGCCGTACAGCGGTATGTCGTTACAAGGCTACCTTCGTAGATGAAGCCAGGATCAAGGGTCGTGAAGTCCAGGCTGCCGCCAGTGGCATTTTTCCGAGGGATCCCACATTGAAGGATTTCCTCCGAGACAAACCTGCGTGCTTGGTGACTCTGCGGTGTATCTGGAACTATGCGCGTGGGCGCACTGCCGCTGAGTGTCGTGCAGTCCTTGAGAACTATGTGGTTCATGGAGGCGACCGTGGTCTAACAGCTGCAGCTGTACGATCCAGTTGTGGTCTTTCTGTCACGGAAGGCCCTGCAGCAGATGCGATTGATGAAGCTTTGAAACTTCCGCATCCAGGCGATGACGATCCGATAGCAGCAGCGGCCCGAGCGCAGAGGAAGGAGCAGATGAAGTCTATGCAGGTGATCATGGACTGGCTTATAGATGAAAGCAAAGACTGGTTTACAGTGGCTCAGCTCCGGAGTACGAAGACAAAGGTCGTTTTCTCCTTCAACCGATCAGATGCACAAGAGAAAGTAGACGAACTAGTTGCAGCAGGGCTACTGATATGTGAGACAACGATTCTCCCAAAAGTAAGCAAGACCTTCATCTATGTTCCACGAATAGCCACGCAGAAAGCCCTATCAGAAGTGATTCCTCTCGATCACGATCAGAACATGGTCTTCACAGAAGAGTGCGACTGGAACCGGATGCGAAGTCGACTGGGGCCAGATACGTCTCGCATGTTGAACATGAAGACACTTACTCAAGGTTATCGACAGAGACACGTACCCGAAGGCTCGAAACGAGGCCGAGGTGCGCCCAGCAAGCGGATCACCGGGAGCGAAACCGACAGAAAGATGAAGGAGGAGTTACAAGTCGCAATGGACAGAGATGCTGCCATGTGTCGAGAAGTCCGAGAACTCGTAGAAGGAGGAGAAAAATCTGCAGACCACAAAGTAGCGATGCAGCGTCATTATTTCTACCCAGTGACGACCAGATGTCGCCGCTTCCTCAAAACGAACGGTGCACAGAACTGCACTCGCCTGACGAGGTCCATATGCTTCCCCCATGCACGCGACTTCGACATCCACGCATCTATGTTCACGATCGTTGTGCAGTTGGTCGATATGGTTGGTGCAAAAGATGTGAAGATTCCATCATGGCGAGCCATTGCCGCCGACCGCAACAAGGTCTGCTCGCAGAAGCTGTGTTCCTCAGGTCAGCGAGGCAAGCAGATATTGATGGAAGTGGCTAATGGAGCGTCTCCGGATAAGTACGAGTGTCAGTCAAGTGCAGGAAGGGAATTCCTTCAAGACCTAGCCCGTGAGAGCAGAGTACTGAGATGGCTGGCATGTTCCCAGATGCTGGACATGTACAAGCAGTACCGCAGCCAGTCCAAAAATCACTGGCCGGAAGCCACTGTTTTCTCGTACTGGTGGACTGCTGCGGAAGACTACATCCTCCAGCACATGCTCGACCTCGTACGACAACACCCGGTGCAGGGTCACGTGTCCTGTCACTTTGACGGCGTTCTTCTGGGAAAAGATATGGTGGATGCGATTGAGGCAGCGGAGCACCGAAGTTTCATCGAATCCGTGCAGCGGCGCGTGCTTCAGAACACCGGGCTGCGAATCCGGCTCAAGGAGAAGACCGTCGAGTCCTTCGAGAAAATGTTAACCCACAGATTGCAGACAAGTGCGGTAGATCCAGGATTCGGGGATCATCAATCTTTGTTTTGCAGTGCGCCGAACTCGATTCCAGCCGCTTTCGTCTTCACAGGTTGCGATCCGAAGAGCGTTGCTTCTGTTCTGCAGAAGGAATCACCCGAGAACACCAAGGCCTCCACACAGCGGGTGCGACAGTACTCCGACTGGCATGGCTTTAATGACATGTATCTGATGCCCGCGACCAGCACAGATTCTCAACCAGATGGTGATGGCTTGCTGCATATGGAGCTTCTGGATGAATCGATTTGTCTGGGCATCAGAATTGTCCCTGCAAACCAGATTCTTCTTCTTCATCGTGACAAAGTTTTCGAAAGCAGCTGGTCCAACTTGGCATGCATGATTGATGGCTTCGTTGGCTTCAGGGAAACGATGTTCTTCAAGATTATGAAGGAGGATCCGAAGTTGGAGCAAGCGGACAACGGATTCCTGGATCTACTGGCCGCATCATCAACATCCAGGAAAAGGCCAGCAGCGGATGTGCAATCAGAGCCAGCCGGAGGTCCACAGAATGAAGGGGAAGTCGATGTCGGGAATGCAATGCGGAGGCTGTTGCAGAAAGAAGTGGAAGAGGCCGTTCTTCTACTAGATGCCAAAGCCAACACCTCTTTCTTGGCCACTACCTGTCCCTGCTGTCCCTGGCGTCGCTTCGAAAAAAGAGCACATCTCAGGCATCATCTCCGAACCCAGCACACCGACAAGAAGCGTTATTGCCCGTCGGGAACGAAGCAGCTCAGAATTGCCGTGTCGATTTATGATCATGACACTGGCGCGGGCCACACGCTTCAGCCGACTTTCCTGTCTCGCTCGGCAGCTATCATGCGAGCAGACGTGAAGCCACCATGCCCAACCAGAAAGGTGCACATTGACAAGTACGTCAGGTACGTCTTCTGCAAGACCGGCCCATCACTCATGGGACTCCACACCATCAAGAAGCAGAACAGCCTGCGACGTGTGGGCAACTTCTACTACACCTACGACTTCGCCTGTGCGTTCATCAAGGCCGCAGCCTCGGGTAACGTTTCTCTGATGAAGATATACACGGAATTTTTGGGCTTTTGCACACGTCACAATGGTCAACTGGCATCGATGCTGCCTAGAGCGACGAACGGATTCTGGATGAATGTGCTTGAGGACCTTCTCCATGCTCCATCTATCACAGAGTATCGTGAGAATCTCCTAGCAGAATGCAAAGATCATGAGGAATTTCAGTACTTGAGCATTGATGCAACGTTCAAGATCAACCTGAAGATCATTGGTCAATCCAAATTCCACTCGTCTCAGTCGTCGCGTGACAATGCTCCCATTCCGGAAGCCGATGCCGCCTACCGTACACTTACGTGCCGCGCTCGCACTGGTGCAGCTGTGCTAATTCGCGTAGTTCGTTCGGAAAAGGCTGCCGTCATCGCCGAGACTTTGGCCACAACACTCTCACAAGAACAGCGAGCTCAAGTTCTGCACGTCGCGTCCGACAATCCTTCGGCTGAGATGTTCCGCGCACTCAAGGATGTTTTGCCAGCGCTCCGGAGCATTGCTCTGGATGCTATGCATATCGTTATGGTCTACCAGCAAAACATGAATAACAAGAAAACACAAGGAACTCGTTGGTTGTCTGTGATCATGGATAAGTTTCGCAAAAGTGATCCGACACGCTCCGCAGCCTCCTGGGGACCATTCTACACAGGAGATAATCTTCCTCGCGGCAGTGCAGACATCCGGACTATGCGATCGAGATTGGAGACACCTGATATGTCCCACGCTCAGGCATATGGGAACCTCGAACAGCTGGACCCAGATACGCCTTGGCTGACCGAAATCGAGTTCCTAGAGTCAATGCTCGCTCATATGTCACTCTTCTGGGACGAGTTGCAGAAAACCACTTACAGTGGAACATCCTTACATCGACTCTTGATCAATGTCGCCTCCCCAGCGAAAGTACAATGGCTCATGAACGACACTCGCTACCGTCATTCGGTAGATCGACGGGGACTGATTCTATTACCGAGCGGGACGACCTCCAATGAAAGCCTACATCATGAACTCAATCATTGGTTCCGCGAAACAGAGCTTCGTCTGCAATGCGTGCTTATGCATATTTGGCATGTAATGTATGTAATTGTATCTTCCACTTGCAGGCTGCCATGCACAAAGCCACGCTGATCGTGAAATTGGAATTCTTCCAGTTCGTCAAACTTCTCGCCCACAATCAGGCCTTGTACAGACCCATGCAACGACAGGCAGGTCAAGCTGAAGTGGTATGTAGAGCCTTGGAGGGTAATTTGCCTGTTATTCTACCACGGCGATCGTGGAACAACTGGTGTCGACAGCTCACTGTCGTCAGTTCTGCCCCAAAGAGGGCTGACCTGCATGTCCTTACGCAGGCTCGGAAGGTGCGTTCTATTGCACGACAGGTGAGTGTCGACAGCCGGTCCCAAGCATCGGGTCGGCAAAGAAAATCGGCAGCTCCACCTATACCGAAGAGTGCCCCGACCAGGCGGACACCGTTTAGACTGCGAAACATTCGCCCGGTGATTCGACCTGGCTCCGTATCTAAAAAGATATAGATATTTCGCATCGAAATTGTTTGAGGGCGGTTGGTGTCGACCTGTCGGTGTCATTGATTTGGTATGCGTCCATATATGCATTTATACAGGCCGACAGTGAGTCCTCGCCGCAAGGTGTCGATTGTGCATTAGCTTGCGGTCAGAGAGCAGCAAAAGGATACTGATTTCCTGTTTGCCTGAGGCTTGCATGTCTTCTCTTCGCATCGATGTAGGTTCACACATCCCGCCTAGTCATTCTCCGGTCAGGATCTCGTGG